TATATATTATACTAGCTAGACTCCATTCGTGAAGGGTATTTACTGCTGAAAGTCAACACAATTCATTCATGCGGATAGACAGCTTCTTCAGTCTTTAAACATTCCATGCACCAGCACATCCTTTTGCGAGGCAAACAACAATGTGAGGACAAAGTCTGAGCCAGTTCCGGTTGAGTGTGCGTGTGTATGTGTGTGTGTACCAGCTATAGAAATATGTAAATTGAATGAAATTAAATCGACTGAAATTTTATAGACAAACTACGTGCAAGGCAAGGAAATGGCCATAATTTGGTTAGCTAAAAAGTGAAACGCATAAAGTTTACAGTTAAGCTTAAGATTTAAAAATGCGGAAAGTCAATAAGTTCAAGAGAAATTGTGGAAGAAGATAAAGAATATGTATGAATTAATATACTAAAGTAAGAACGGATTGATTATTTGAAATATATATATGTATATCCAGCTGTCTTGATCATGAATATACATGCACAATTAGTAATGTTTTAATTAGCATAAACAAATGAAGATAAAAGCAAATAAATTGCAATTGTAAATAATTTGCAATGATTTAAAATGAATTGACAATGTAAATAGTTTCCAATTGAAATGCTAAGCCTCGTTTAACACACGCTTAACTGATTCGATTGGCATTACTTATTTGTAAGCAGTTGTCTGGGTCGCCTGGGCAGAGGAGCGGCACACAGGACACTTTGATCTGCATATTTAAAATGCTTGGTGAGCTTAATTCAATCCACGAAGTCTAAGGATGCCTGCGGCATGCTTAACTTGCATGGCTGGCCACAGGACATGCACAGGACATGCTAGCCAGATAGGACGTGGCTATAGGCTTACCTGCAGCTGTAACTGTAGCTCACACGTGCTGACCAGCCCGGGGATGTGTTCGAATTGCACAACTTCTTTGGATTCTCTACACTAGCCAAAAGAGGATATGAAGGAATTTGTTGCTGCTGCAGATAGAGAGAGAATTGTTAATGAAGCTGCTTGTCAGGCCCTTAATTACATATCCTTGTTACTTTGCAACTCTGTGTGCAAAGTGGGCAAAGGCAACAGACGGGCTTTTTCTTCTACTAGGGAGGGACTCTGTGGCAAATACAGGGCAAAGGCTTACCATTGGAGTCTGTTCTTCAACGTAGCTGGGCTTTATCATTATACGAGATGTGTTCAAAGGATTCCAGCACCGCCCAAAATTTGTTTGCATGTGACTTTTACTATGTGACTTCAAAGCAGCAGAAGGCTCTGTAAAGCGTGCATTTAAGTAGGAGTTGAACAAGATCAGAAAATATGATTGAAAACATGTTGATGAGGCTTATTGTGAAAGGAAAAAATATATTTAAGCACACATCATTAGCCATATTTGGAATTTAATGGATATGCAATTATGTATTTAGGGAATGTATCAGGTTGTATTCCATCTATCTGAGGATCTCTAGGTGACTTAAAATGTGTATGTAATATAACTAAGCAAATGAAGTATTGAAATATTGGTTATATAAATAATGTATGTATATACATATACTATTAATAAAGCTGAATGTGAAAAGCGACATTGATTAATTTCTTATAAAATAATTTTATATATTTAATAAATTATTTTTCAAATATATAAAAAATAATACTGAGAGTTTGCATTGCAAGGATATTGATGCTTGGCTTTCGCAGAGTGACTTTATGCAATGGAATGATACAGGGAAGTTTTATAGATCTTAAATCAACGTAAGATAAAAAGTTCTCGCCTAGCAACTGACTCAAGCATGTTGCATGCAACTTGCTGCAGCCAAACCAAGCAACAAGCTCCGACAACAACTTATATCATATGATATATTATGCTGTGGTATTTATTATATTATATTATGATGTACTGTAAATAAATAATATATGTATATATTATAAAATAAATTATAAGATTTATTTTGATATATAATTACAAAAAACATAATACATTAAATTTTATTCAATTAATTAATTAAATATTGTGAAATTAATAAAAAAATAATTTAATTAATTAATTAAATATTGTAAAAAAATAATAAAAAAAAATAATTTAATTAATTAATTAAATAAAATAAGAAAGGATATTTAGAAAATAAACTTCAGCTTATAACTTTTGATATATTTTATTTTATTTAAAAATTTTTAATTTTTGTATAATTAATATTATATTTACCTAACTTTCAAATTGATTTTCATTTACTTTAATTTTATTCGCACTTAACTGTTTCTGGACTTTCTTCCGTCTTGAGCGGGAATAAGTGCTCAATAAATTAACGCTGAATAAAAGAGAAGAAAACCCAAATGTCACAGCGCAGTGAAATCGATTTGTCTTGCACTGCGCACACGGCCAACGTCCAGCGTACAACGTGTCGTATGAGTAACAAGTGCAGCACATAAATTCGCCAGCTGGCAACAGCCACAAACAAATAAATAATGCACAATTTACAAAGTGTTGCTGCAAATTTATGTGTGTTCTCCTCCTAGTGGATGCTGATTCAATTTGCTTGTCCACTTGGCAAAAACGTGGACATTTGTACTCGATAAACAGCTGCTAATGATGCAAATGCTTAAAGGCGCTACTATGCGCAAGTAAATATTATTTAATTTAGGTTTGTAATTCTCTGTATGATCACCATCTTCAAAGTCTTCTTAATGTGTAAATAGAATAAATAATATAATAATTATAATATAAACAAGTAAGGTATAGGAAGGAGAGCGAGTGATGAAGAGAGAGGGAACAGAGACTAGTTTAAAAATTCCTTTCTTGGGGGTGGGGCCAGATTTTAACTAAAATCCAAATTCTATAAAGTACATATGAATCTACATCCTGAGTGAGTATTAAGTAGACAATCATATTCCTATTCCTCTAACACTTTTTACTGACAGTTAAATTTTTATATATATAAAAAATGTAAACCAATTCTATTATTAAGTGGAATATATCTTATTGCAAAGCGATAGCGAAGCAACTGCTGCTGCCCACATGTGTTTTGAAACACAGAGCAAGCAGCTAGTTGCCAGTCGACTATAAAAGCTATCATTAATTGTCGATTGCAGTCAATCAGAGCAGTGGCCATTGGTCAAATGCATCGATTTCTAGGCATATTCTTTTGTTTGGTTTTTCTACAAAATGCAAACTTGGCTCCGTCGTTGCTAAAGAAGCCATGGAACGAATACCACCCGACGCCGACGAATAAGCTTAAGACATTGCAGCAGCCTATCATGGATCCGTCTAACAATCTAACCCTGGTAAAGCTATTGTCTAGTAAATATGGAATTTGTTATATCAGCTGAGCTCTATTTTTGCAGGCTCAAAAGGAGAGCATGCAGGCCAGTTGCAGGAAGGTGCACCAAAAGTGCCAATACGCTGAGGAGTGTTGCTCGCTGCAATGCATGAAACGCTA